ACGAAATACTGTAAATTAAATGCTGAATGGCAATTCATGCGGGGAAAGAACATATCAATATTCGCATATTCATTCAAAAACATGAAAATTCTTAATGGAGTACCCTCATTTTTTATTGAATTCCTAAAAAACAATATTTATAATGAATTTTAATAATTTTTTTGAATTTTTTTTAAGTTTTATTCTGACCAATTCATCCGATTCCCAATCAAGATCGCCGATTCGTCGATCCGGATCAATTTTTTGGAAGCCCGATCCGGGTCACCGATCCGTTTTTTAAACCATTGGGTTCAACCAATGGCAAGGGTACTTGTGCACGCTGGCACGATATGGACGAGAAACTTTTCCTTTGAAAAAACAAAGCGGATGATATCTAATTGCGGGAGGGCTATGCTCTCGCTGGAGCACACTGTTGGCTTACTCCATGGGTGAAAGAGCTACATGGATATGTTTTCGATATGAAATTTTTACCGCATATTTATTTTTTAAAAAATAAATTTTGAATTATTAAACACTTAAATCTCAACCTCCAAAAATTAGACTAGGATGCTATTTTTTTTGGGGACATACAACAGTTTGATTTGAAAATTTCCTTTGGAAGTAGCTCTCTCTGGAAATCGATATTTTGAGGCTATGGAAGTTCCCCTAGGTTGGATTTTACTTAAGGGCGTAAATAAACATTACGTTTAGAGCATAGAATCTTTTGATGGAAAAAAAGTTAAAGTCAGTATGGAGTTGGCGTTATTTTTTTTTTTTAGTGAGAATAGAGTGAGAGATTCCATAATAAGGCTCCAATCTATGTTGGTCCGCCAAGGCCTCAGTTTATTCTCAAAAAGTGGTAAGACAGTAGAGATTTGGTCCCTATCCCTGAATAAAAATAAAATTTGAAACCTCATCATGAATCTCGACAATACTACCGCCAAGACCAAAGCCATGGAGCATAGAATCTTTTGATTAGTCACCGTTTGAAGACACGTCACATTATCTTCTTTGGAGCATAGAATCTTTTGACTAACCACGGTTTGAAGACACACCACATGATCTCCATCGGATTTTACCATGGTGCAGGTGGAAAGCAAACCAAACGGTCTCTGTCCATGGTTTTGACCATGGTAATCAGCTTTTGGAAAGCAAGCTAAATTGGTTTTCGGTTTTCACAGCCTTTGAAAAGAAAATTCAATGCTCCTCTCTCTCTCTCTGTATCCACATACATATACTCCACTCTCTACCCACATGTATGTAGATTTCTACTGAATTTAAAAGCATTTATGGTATCTAAAGTCGAAACGGTTGGAAATAATGGCTATACCTTGAATTGGTAACCATTAATGTCTCCATTACAGCAAAATTTAAAATGATGGTATAGAATGAGAGATTCTTTTTAAGGAAAGATGGGTTCAAAATGATGGTATAGAATGAGAGATTTTTTTTAACGAAAGATGAGTTCAAATATTGGATGTTCAAAAGTAATTACAGACCCATTGACCTACTTATTTTGGTTATTTTCTATTGTGAGTTGGGTTTGAACATTGAATGTCTGAGAGGGAAAAACAAGTGGGTGAGTTTGATGATCCAATAATCGAAACAACCCCATTATAGCAAAATTTAGATATTCAACATTTAAAACAATCTTTTTCTTAAAAAAAAAAGGAAAAGAAAAACCTTAATTCATACTGGATGTCTAAACCAATGTTTGACAAATCGGTGATCAAACCGGCTGATCCAGATAGAGAATCGACCAGGCTAATACATATCCCATAAAATATTAGGAATAGGTCAGCTCTATCATGACCTGGCTGGTCTTAGACAGAACCGGCTGGTTCGATTAGAGAACCGGCCAAAATCAGTCCCTATTTTCTTAAACTTTTTTATTCTTTTAACAGCTGGAACTTGCCGCTTTGAAGACTCTTTTGGATTGTCCCATAAACTATCAAAATTATCTTTGTAATTAAATTTTGGATATAACACGCCAAATTATAGGCACAAAATACTTTTACATATTTCGTGGATTACGCTAAAATTGACAATAGGTAATTTAGTTAGACTAAGCCATACTTAATGCGTCATTAGGGGCTTAATAAAGTTTACTACGTCCAACAAACCACAAATATTATGGGGCATCTTGACTTTGTCTCCCTTTTTTTTTTCTTTTTAAAGAACAACACCATAATCAAGCATTGTTGTTTTCTCTCATGTTGGGTTAAGCTAATTAAGGTTTCACTGCAACTTATTGGAATTTGGAAAGAATAGTGGGTAAGTATTGATTTCAGTTTCATAATTCTAATTAAATTATTGAGGGACCTCTCATCTCATAGGAATCTCATTGGTAACAAAAATATTTCCGATTTCTTCGAAAGATCAAAGCACTGGTTCTCAAACCACTAATTTTTTTCATTTTCATGCTTTTGATTGTTATTGTAAATAGAAAATCAAGTTTAAATACTCAGATCTTACTTTGATCAATTGCAATTCATTTTATTTTGATTTCTTGTGCTACTATCAATAAGTTGAACTCCCAGCAGTTACATATGGTCTCTAAATACTCAGATCTTACTTTGATCAACTGCAATTCATATTATTTCGATTTCTTGTGCTACTATCAATAGGTTGAACTCCCAGCAGTTACATATGATTCACTTTTCTAGTGCCTTTTGCATTTGTTGATTGAGAAGACTTAGATGGACTAGAATAAGATTTAGAACTTTCAGTACTAATTTCTTGTTGCACAGTGCGGATTGTTGGTAACAAATGTAATTTATAAACAGTAAGCTACATGTCACATAGGGTTGAAATGAAAGCCGCTAAGCCGAAGCAGCCATTGAGTGGAGAAACAAACTGTACCATTGGTTTTTGAGGTGCCACTCTTGTACCACTATAGTTTTTTCAATTTGTTTTTACTATTGTTTTTTCAATTTGTTTTTTCTAGTAAGATGATTTATCTGAAATTGATACAACGAGAAATAGTAATAAATTCATAGATATAGGGAGAAATAGTAATGAACGAGAAACTAAAATAAACTAAAAGTTTGAGAGAATATACAGGTTTGTAAGAAAATCCATCCCAAAAGATTTCTTCACAAGATCAACTTTACTTAATTTTAATATTTTTGTTTTACAACGAGGGACTTCTTCCATTTAAATAGACCTCAAAAGAAAATAAATAAATAAAAGAAACTCTCACTTATCTCTTTATGTCAACCACTTTTCATTATCGCTTATCTCTCTCTCTCTAACTCTCATGCTCTATTTTCCTCATTTCCTAAATTTTTATCTATTATCTTTTCTTTCTCCTATCCGGATCTCCTTAAATCTCACCTTGTAAATAGGACTTTAGAAAATTACCCCTATATTTACATGATTTTCTATAGTTTAAAGATAAAACTTTCCAAAACAACAACACTAAAAAAGTAAAAAATAATAACACTAATATTTATCTGCAACTTTCTCTCCGGGTTGGGAGAAGCTCAATCTCAAGCTTATAAAACTCAAATCGTTTAGAGGTCTTCTCAAAAGCTAGTTATGCAGTCCCATCATGCACCTCAATACTTTTTTTCAATAAATAAATGATATATCCAACATGATTTGTAGTGGAAGTTTGAGACCCCAAACTCTATAATACAAAAATGAATATTGATTTCTTCAGATTTTCGAAATTTCTTCCACATTTGGCTATCAACATCTTCTTTTGAATCAAGATCTACCTCTTCATATTCTTCTTCCTCTGATTGCAATCGATGAAATAGATCTTATAGACACTTTATAGGATGTAGATCTTGTCTAAATTTTTTTTCGTTACGGTCGGGATCAGCACTCTGAGTTTGTTGTGGGACTACTAGTGTAAGATCAATGTGGTTGCGAGCACTATCATTGCGATGAAGATTGTTCTCCAACCATTGCAACTTCTGATCGAACCGTTTCATCCCTTGATTAGTTTCATTAATGTAGCGTCTGATATCCTCCAAGGTTTTGTTCAAGCTCTCTTGAATTTGATGACCCACATAATCCATGAGTTGCATGAATTTGTTGAACCACATAATCCATGAGTTGCATGAATTTGCTAACCCACATACCCACATAATCCACGAGTCGTAGCAATGTCTTCGATTGTAATGGCATCATAGTTGATAGAGCTTACTTGCTCGGATACCAACTGATAAGATCTACAAGGGAATCTACCCCAAAAAGATCTCTTAACGAGATCACTTAATTCCAATGCTTTACAATGAGAGAATTCTTCCTTTTAAATAAACCTCAAAAAAAAAAAACCTTCTCTCTCCGACTCTCATGTCCTATTTCTGCAATTCCCTAATCTTTATCTCTTAGTTTTTTCCCAATCTCCTTGAATCTTAACTTTTTATGACGTAATACCACGTAAATCTCTAACTAAATCTCCTAATTCCATAAAAATAGGACTTTCGAATAGTACCCCTACCTATCTCATGATTTTCTACGGTCAAAAGATAAAGCCTCCCAAAATAACTCCCAAACTAAATCTTCCCTCCCATATCCCAACACACTTCCTATCCCTTTAAAAAACTAAAAAAAAAGTCATTAAAAAATAATAACTCTAATATTTACCTACATCAGATTTGCAACTACTGTCAAACGGGATGTCATATTGCAACAAAAAGAACCGCAACAATAAACTATTGTCAAACGGGATGTCATCTTACAACAAAAAGAACCACAACAATAAGCATTCATCTTACCTCTTATGTAGACATCAATGACAACTTTATTTATTCAACTTGCACGACATGAGCCCAAAGAACCCAAGGAGTCAGCTGATTAAAGCAGCATTATTCATTATTTACACCACTAGACTGGAAGGCATGGAGGATAGCACAACTCACACAGAACACCCTTAAGATTTCTCCGTTGTTCCAGTTACTCGAAACAAAATGCATTACTATACCAGTACTCATCCACACATGAAAATACATGCCAATGATTGATAGATAGACAGATATTTAGGTAAGTAGACAGCCACATCGACGGACAGACGGATAGGCAGATAGCGCTCATAAGTCCTTTGCACTAAGGCTGAATTATTTGCTTTTTTGAGTGGGAGCACCTTTATAACCACACCCACCACCACCACACCCACCACCACACCCACTTCGGGTCCTGCACCCTCCCCCACACCCACCACCGCAACCCCCACCACAACCACCACCACCTTTGCTAGCCATGCCATCACTCTCCAAAGAACCACCACCATCGCCAACATTGCTTGCGTCAACACAGCCACTCTTCAAAGTGGTTGCACCACAAGAGCCACACCCTCCACCACACTTACCTCCATTATCACCTGCACCACATGTACCACAACCAGGGCCACAACCAGCTCCACCTTTGCTAGCCATGCCATCACTCTCCAAAGAACCACCACCATTGCCAACATGGCTTGCGTCAACAAAGCCACCCATGCCGCCACTCTTCAAAGTGGCTGCACCACAAGAGCCACACCCTCCACCACACTTATCTCCATTATCACCCGCACCACATGTACCACAACCAGGGCCACAACCAGCTTCACTTGCCATGTTCAATGACTTGGAATCACCTTCGTGTTGAACCTCCACAAGATTGATGTTGATGCCAAGCTTGTCTTCAATGCTTTGAGTTGTAGACTTGAATATTGTGTGTCCTTCCTTTCTTAGCATATCGGAGAGTATGAATGTTAAGATCATCCCCGGCAGAACGAACCATTCCTCCCCTACCTACCCACATCAAGAGCAAGTTCATTAAAACAAACACATATACACCATAGATAGATAAATAGATAGATAGCAGGACTAGGGCTCTTTGCTTTGACATTATGGCAATGAGGGCCCCAACATAACATCCAAGATCAAATCCTGACTAAATTACATGAGAGGGGGAGAGAGAGAGGGTGATGGTGATGATGATACCATGAAGAGGCCAGTTTTTGGGTTGAGCAATGCGATAGCTTTGCCATATGGGTGCTCTGGAGAGAACGCAACAGCTGTGATAAAATCACATTCAACCTTTGGCATCACACCATGCTTCAAGTCATATTCAAGCTTTCTACCTTGGAGGAGTTTAATCTGTTTTAACCAGTCATATTTATTAGAAAAAACTTGCAAAACATACAAAATCATAAAGCTCAACTAATGAATTAATGGATTTTATTTTCATGATTTATGAAGTCCGCATGTTCATTGACTTACAATTTCATGTTTTATGAAATTTACAAAAATCATCTATCTATTGCAACTGAAGGAACTTAGTTCCAATGATAGTTGATACTGAAATGTATTATACATTCCATTATGCATGACATGAGTCGGAGTTGTGTTTAGTGCAAAGTCTTACAAGTTGGGCACTACTCTTCTCAAAGACGTGACCATCGGCCAGATTTTTGTTTTCCAATTGAATGCGCCACTGTGAATCTAGAATAAGCCACTCTGTAGGCTTGTCTGATCCCACTAGCTGCTCAGCCACAACCTCTATTTTACCTTCTGGCCCCAAAACACCTAACATCTCTCTCTTCCGAGTGTAGCCATCGCCTGCCTCTTTCTGTTTTGAATTCCTGTAATTCATAAAAACACTTTTGAGACTCACAAAAGTTGGACAACTAAACTGTTTTCCTTTACCATCCACTGAGTTAGGTAAGAGATTACCAGACATATTCACTTTTTCAGACATCACAGGCTATTAAATCACTTTAAAAGATCCAATGCCATGAAAAATAGTTACTTATCTCGAAGTAACAACATGTTAAAAATAGCATTCTGATTTTCTACAGAAGAAAACATCATTTCGGTGCCATAATTTTGGGACCCAATTGAAGAATTTGCATGCACACAAGCAAGAAACTCCCCATATGACACAAGAATTTCAAATAACATGGTATGCATGAATTAATTGAATGTGCTTATTTAGATCACACAACACAGGGTTTCCCCAGATCATGCTTACTTAGTGATGAACAAGATTGAGTATGCAATCCTACCCAAGGAAAAAGGAGAAAAATAATCTACAAAACACACCCTGAGTATGGTATAAACACAAATTATAAGCCTTTAGGGCATCCACTGCACCTTCTCACGATACAAAGTGGACATGAACCATAATTCTGGGATTGAGATTCATCTCCACTGCCCATTTGAAGGATGAGTGTACACTACTTTCCCGAAAACACCCCCTGTCCCTCCCCCTCCCCCTCCCCCTGGGTGTGTATTATAGATTATATGCAGCATGTGTATGATATACCTTCCCTAGGACAAAAATAGGGCACACAGTTTGGTCCACGCACCTAATTTGGAGGCTGATAATTTCATTGCCTGCATCATCCATGACACGGGTCCATGAGCCAAGTTGCGGGCCCCGACCCAAAAGTGGGAAGAAGCAATAGCTGTTTGCCCACGGATGTGACCGAACCATACGAAGCTCACGCACAGCAGGGTAAGGAATGGTTACAGAGATGGCAATGTGTAAACCAATGGGATTGGATTCTCCATTACCACCATATGATCCCAGATCAAACCACTGTTCTATCGATAGTGAAGAGGAGTCCAACAATTCTTGAAGAGAGATTGAGGCTTTTCCCAATACTTTTGATAGCTTTGATATTGGTATTTTTGAAGGGAAGTGGGAAATGAGCTCAAAGAGCAGTTTTTCAGTGGGTTCACACTGAAAATAAGCTACTTGTTTCTCTCCAAATTCGGATGATATTCTTAGTCTTCGAGAATAGAAGAACTTATCAGACTGGCTCTTGCTACAAGAAACATATAGACTTCCCTTCTGACTGGCTGGTACATTTCTTACACCAACAATCTCCAAAAGTATCTGCAGAAAAGCCACTAGGAAATCAAGCAATGATATAGAAACGACATTCAAAAGTTAGGGTGAATACTCTGCCGCTGTGTTCATTTCCCTGCCAATTGAGATGTAAATTCTAAAGAAACAAAGCCTCTTTGGAGATCACACATGCCACACACACGGCCCCCACAATATATATGTATATGTGCGTGCGTATGTGTTTGTGTATACACACACACACACACACATATATATATATATATATATGGGCAAAAATGAACAGTGTTTTCACCTATAGGCTCGGTACCGTCTGATTTTTTCAGATGCCGTGGATTAAAAAACCACAACGGACATAGTAGGTACGTTGCGGTATTTTTCACACAAAAAAACATGGGCAACCGCCACAGCTCCCGTAGAT